GTGGTACATATGTGCTTTCAAATTAAAGTCCTGTAAAAAGAGTTTGATTTGATTTCCAAAGGAAATACCAGGCATGCTTGTAATCACTGATTAATCAGTCAGAATTTTTATTTTGTTTAATTAGTTAGAAATTTGGTCAATGGTGTGGAATAGATTGTTAGCATTACTAATATTGGCTAAATGAAATGTCCATCTTATTCACTATATCACTTTTTGACTGAGAGACCATCAGGCAGCGTGAGATGCTTTACTGCGGACACTTTCAATTTCAGTGATCTCTTGACGTGTGACCATTTTTACTGTTATTGAGCATTTAAAATGTTATACCAGCATTCGATTTATAACATTTCATTAAAAAAAAAAAAGTTTTGAGGTGCAGCGGAATCTCTAAATCCGGAAAGAAGGGAGCCGATGCGTTGAGATTTAAAAACATGTCGTGGATGTCACACATGATAGCGGTTCAAGTTTTGATTCGTGTGACACCAAGGGTGTTCTACCATTGAGGTTCCAATGCTTTTGGTGTCGAATCTGTAAAATCTCACACCTTTCATGCACTTCCAAACTGACTTGAGGAGGCGAACACCATTTCCAGGTCAGACTGTGTTTGTGGAAATGCATAAATTATGCATTTGTTGCCCTTCTGCTTTCTGAGTGCAGTAGCCGATGTTGAGTGAAATGTTTCGCTTCGGATTGCCGTGTAAATTCTCAGAAATGGCTTCTCAGGAAAAACAAAGTTGCGTTGGATGGATAAAAAGATAGATATGTCTGAGTGGTCATTAAAAGCCGAGAGCTGGAATTCAGGGAATGAGAGACACTTGCACACCTTTGACAAACTCATTAAGTTGCGGTAATGCAGGTGCAAGCTTTCTGACTTCAAGCTGAATTGTCTTTCGTACGCTTCATCCTGGGACTACATAAAGAAATTGGATAAGAATATCAATGGAACAAAAAGCGTCTCCTGAGGGCCAATCTGGCCTTCATCGCTGATCTTTGCGCAATAACTATTCATGGTGGAGAAGTGCTGAACTGCTCTTGCAATTCTGTATGAGAAGAGATTTGGAGAATTCCTATCGGTTTAGGAATGCTCTGTACACAATGCAGGGAACAATAATCTCCCCATTTCCTGATGGTGAACCTTACTCTTTGCGTAAATGGCAACAGCTGCTTATAAACGACATTACCCCAGGTGCATGTAAGAAGCCAGAAGTGATCACTTGAAGTTAATTTAATAGAGGCCGTAAAAGTCCGAATAGCTAGCTCGCTACGTATCTAGCTAGCTTGCTTCGCTTGCTAGCTCGGTCCATCGCTAGCTAGCTCGATACATAGCTAGCTAGGTATATATAGATAGATAGATAGATAGATAGATAGATAGATAGATAGATAGATAGATAGATAGATAGATAGATAGATAGATAGATAGATAGATAGAAGTGAGCACTGAACACGAGTCACCTTGTGGCCACCAACATAAAATTCTTCACTTTAATTTGGAAAAGGGAGCATCAAAAATGACCTCAAGCAATAAGCCACATGCTGCTTCACCGAGTTTAGGTCTTCTCAAAGAGCTAAAAAACAAACAAACAAAAAAACCTAAACCAAAACCTCTCATTTTCAGTTAGGTTTTTGCTCCCCATTTTCTCTTGTGACCTTTGCATTTGTTACCAATTGATACTCAATTTGCTGGCATTTAGAAAACAAAATGACTTGACGTTAACCCCTGGCGACCCAGTCGCTCCCAAATTGGATCATTTGGGAGCTGTCACTCACTGCAGATTGAGGCGGGTCGAGCTAATGTCACTTTTCCACACCTGACAATTTGACTATACAAACCCAATGCCTTTAATTTGTTGCCATGAAGGCCAGTAATATACAAAACATTAATGCAACACCTATCAACTATCTGTAAATGATATCATGGATGTGTCTTAAACCCTTTCATGCACCCTGTAAGCTGCCCACTGTAGTAACCGCTGTCCCTGAAAGGGTTAAGAAGCCGTGCCAAAAATTTCAATGAAAAGATATTCCCATTAATAAGAATCATATTCCTTTTAATAGGAATTTGGAGGAAAACATGGTCTTTTGTAGGATTCAAAAAGACGTTGCCTGGAGCGTTCTCACAATAAAAATGAGAATAATGGAGAAGCATGGATTGAGATAATAATATCTATTAAAACTATATTGTGCAGTCTATTGCCATTTCCAAATGTGTCATTGACAGCTTTAACTGAAAATTTGGTCAGGCTATGATTCATTTTATGGCATAGTTATAATCCTTATCATGATCGTGTAAGTGGGTGAGCTAATTTAAGCAATGTAATTTAAAATATGTAGAAACATTCCATCAAGACGTTTTAGGTGAAAAAAATAAATAAACCTTCAAAAACATTCCTGGAATTGACTGATTAAAATGTGTGCTTTGGCTTGTGTCAAAAGCCTCCGCTTTATCTTGTATATTTTCATAAATTTGTCAGCTAATTAAATGGGGACATAATTAACTGCAAGGATATATAACTCAATCAAAGTTTTAATCAAGAGTGAAGGCCAAAATCCCGCTTGAAAAGGCTTATGTCGCACACATCCGCACACACGGGCATGCACGCACTTCATTGTAATTGTGTATGCAGAGGACAACGTTGGCAGGGACCATCGCAAATGGAGACATTAGGCTGACTCT